TCTTAACAAATAAAGTGTTTACAGCACAGCGATCCCCTACAGAATACACTTAAATTAATATGAATACATTATTTTATTAAAAATTAAACAAATTTCCATTTGTTAATATACTGTATCTTTACTGAAACACTGTCATTGTAGCATGTTCAAACACCATGTGTGATATTATCCCAGTACAACACACACTTTGTCTAACACTATTACTTTAATGTTATGTGTCCTCAAAATGTATACCAGCATGAGTGATTAAGCAGAGCTGATCTTAGAAACAGACATTTCCAAGTTAATGTGAAGGAAATACATAAGTACAAAAACCTGTATTATTCATGTGGGCAGCACGATGGTGAAATTTGGTTAGCATTTCTGCTTCACATTGCTGGGGCAAACCTGAACTTGGGTGCGGAGTTTGTAAATTCTCCCCATGTTTGTCTGGGTTTCCTCTGGGAGCTCTGTGTTCCTCTCACAGTCCTAAATAACAGTTAGGTTATTTGGCTTCTGGGAAAATAGGTCCAAAATGAGAGTGTGTGCATGTCTGTGTCTGTGTGTCTGTCCTGCAATGGACTGGCATCTCAGAGAGGTTGTACCCTGTTTCCATTTCTTACTGTAATAGACTCTGGCACCCCAGCCACCCTGAATTGGAGGAAGCGGTTAGAAAATGGATGGATGTATTATTCACAGGCTTCAAGTACATTACAGAATAATAGTCCAGTCCATTGTGCAGAAAAAAAATCCTCTGAAATGTTCGAGGTGACTCTGATTTCATATTTTATGCTTTACTGTAAATATAGTATGAATATTCAATATAAGGAAATAAAATGGAAAAATACTTAGTGATTGGACTCTGAAAGGCTTTATGACACAGCTTTTAATAAGGGCAACAGAAATAGCTTTTAATACAGTATGTGTAGAATTTCTAATTATTCTCTTTTTCTAGGAATCATTACCAAGAAAGTAATTACTTAGATATTGATGCAGATGGGAGAAAAAAGACACTGGAGATATCAGGTACTCAGGAATCTAAGACACTATACTGTATCCAAGTTTTACTTTTTCAATTAAAAAGTAAAAATTGAATGCAATTATAATCATTTCAGAAAATAAAGACAAACCATCTTCTTTGATTGCAATAAAGAAAGAGTGTTTATTAATATTTTGTTTGACCATACAGATGAAGTTTGTTATGAGGTTTAATTAAACAAAACGAATGCCATGGTAATGAGATGAATTTAAAAGTCTTGGGATTTACTGTATATAAATTACTACTTAGAATAACTACTGACTCTTTAGTTTTGGTGAATTTTCTTTTTAAACCTTAAAGTTACTTGAGTAAGAGAGTACTTTAAAATTAATGGAATATGGCAGAAAATAATATTAAAAAGTCATCATTCACAATTATCTATGTAGTGTGTATACAGTAGGTACTACAGTAAATAAAGTTATAAGTTAACTCATAAAAGTAGTTTCCCTTTTCTTCATATTTGTGTAAAAACATTAAAAATGCATCATAATGGATTCTTAACAGTAAATGTTCTTAACACTGTCCTTACTCTGATTTTTACGTAGCAGGTATACAATACCAACCCTTAATCTATGTCTACTTTATGGTTTCTCGCAGATTCCTGCAGTGTTAATGGGCACCAGCAGACTGAAAATGGAAACACAGCATCAATAAATGTACTGATTATATGAAAAAAATATTTTTTTTATGAAGGTTATGTTGAAAATGAGTTGGTCTGGTGGTGCAGTAGTTAGCATTGTTGCCTTACAGCACTAGGGTTCTGGGTTCAATTCCAGACCTGGGGTGCTATCTGTGTGGAGTTTGTATGTTCTCCCTGTGTTTATGTGTTGTGCAGTACAGAAGGATACTAATAGTTGGCTTCTGGGAAAAAGGGCCCTGGTGTGAGTTTGTGTGCAATGAGCCGGTGTTTTGCCTGGGCTGTATTCTGCCTTGCACCCATTGCTTGCCAGATATGGCTCCATCTTCAACATGACCCTGTATTGGATGAACCAGCTTGGAAATAGATGGATGGATGTTGGGTACAGATCATTCCCACATTTCAGAGCTTGCTTCTCTAGCAATTGATACTACATGACCAAATCTAACTTCCTGTCACCACTGCTTAAATCTCACATAATTTCAGCACTAATAGAATAAGTGTTCAAACCTATTTTCAGATTGGTAATCTAAGATTTCTTTGTATTGTATTTTGGTCTTTACAGACATCTGACATCTTTACAGATGTAACTATGACATGCAGCATAATTTTATGAAATAAGAAACTATCAAAATACACTAATACCAAGGAATGAGCACAGACTTTTCTTGACCCCTATGTTAAAGAATGATGTTTTATACACCAAAGATGTAGAATTGAATAATGTGAATAATACAGGAAAGTGATTGTGGTACAGCCTAGATTTTGTGATTTTTATAGTGGCCAATTGTCATTAATTGGTTAATGTTAGGGATTTCTACAGTGTAATAGTGACCACTGTGACTTTCTGGGTACTTGCAGAGTTGCAGTGAAAGCAGGGGCAGACAAGAAGATCATCCAATCTGAACTAAGTCTTCTGCAAGGTATTTGTAGAGCTATCAAATTGTGAAGGGTTCTGATGGTAGGAAGAGTGGAAAAGTGTCCCTGCACATTACAGTTGTTGTTGCTGTGAGTCAAGACTTAAAGAAATGGTCACTTCCCAGTTTGAAATGAAATAATGACCTCGTTGTGTTATTTTTGAAGGTCATTTCATGAAACATTTGCTGTTTGCTATTTGCTGTTTCTATAGACTGCAGAAAAGACAGAGGGTGAAGTGTGCTATGCCTCAGTCAACTGGAGAACTAAAGAACAAAGAAAACAACTAAAGAAACCAGCCTCAGTGATGCAGGTCAATCAATCTGAGGAGTACGCCACTGTGAAATTCATAAAGACCACACGCAACCTCAGACCAGAACTGCTTTGGTGATTAATGAGTGAGACACTTCTTGCTGTTTTTGCTAAATGTATGACAAATCTTGCAGTATACAATATGTTGTAAAAGCTGATTATTTTATAAACCAGAAGGAGGACAACAAGAAAGGGCACATGGGTTGTTGTTTTCTTCTTGGTTAATTTATTAATGATAAAATTAACGATGAAATAACAAGCAAAATAAAAAGGTCCCAAACGTTCAATGCAGTCGGTTCCTTGACCTTAATATCTACTTGCCTTTCTTCACATTTTTCTTTAAATGTGTTATATTACAGTATATTGTTCACTATTGTAATTTAATTCTGTCAAGCTTGTGGAAATTTCCTTCATGTAAAATATTTTGAAAAAAATGACTGAGATATTGGCATTTGTAGGTGAAATAAAAAATATACAAAAATACTGTAATATGGCCTCCTGCACATTCAGTACAGAATATTCTAGCATAGTATGAATGTTCATTCATAGCTGAATAGTCACAGCCATTAAGACCTTCTTGGTGCAAACCTGTTAAAAACTCCACATTCGTTATTATTTTGGAGAATTTTGGCTGCTTTGGCGTGGTTCACCATTTGGTTATTGTATCCCAAAACTGAGTCAGTCAGATTAGTTGCATGAAAGTATTATAGAATCTTATATATTTGCAAGAGCTTTTATCAATGGTTTTGATTGTTTCACTCTTGTTTCACGTTTCACGTTT